ATTTTATGACAGATCTGGGTTTGCTCGAACTGATTGACGTCTTGGAAGAGAATATTCGGCACATTATTGTTGACATACGGCCCACTTGCAGCAAAAAGTGTTCAAAAATGGGCATAGATTGAATGGTATCTCAGCCATAACTTGCGCCTGCTGCTGTTCAAGCTCTGTAGAGTGAAAGGTTTTATTCCTTGCTCGAGGTAAGAAGTGTTCCTCGTCACTGAAGGAAATTTCGGTCGAAAAATGGCCGACCACTACTTGTTGTTCCAGCACCTTCAGTTGTGGAGCTAGACCTTATATATAAACATATTCGGGTATTCGGCTACACTTTCACTTACAGTAGCGATATTTGAGGTGGAACAAGCGAATCGATGATGCGCAGGCAATACAATATCTGTAACCGATCCTCTTGAAGCTCAAAAAGTGGTTTACGGTTTTAAAAATTTTAATGCGTTGTGCCGTTGTTAAGTAACCCATTTACCTTTTTAACTGAGAGAAAACATGTTTGGTTTGACAGTTGAGTTCGACCGATGTACAAATACAGACCCGTACCTTTGAAACCACAAAATGGATAAACCCTTCACTACTGTATGGATATTGAAATAAAGAGATTGAAAAACTCAACGGAGAAGTTTTGAAACTTTTGTTGCAGTTGAATTGATAAGTTTAATGAGGGCATCAAACTTAGGAGGATTATTTTGGCTTATGGTGGAACCAATTTTTGAAGGATGCCACCGTTTTAAAATTCAAAATACCATCTAATTGTTGAGCTAATAAATAAATGACGCAAAATGGCATTAAGTTGAAGATATTTAAGAAAGGGTTGATGTGAAAAAAAGCTTTAATTTATTATAGATTTAAAAATTTTTTTTTTGTTGGTTGTCACGTCAAATAAATAGCTGCGCTTTGATAGATTATACAATACAACCTGCACAGGTACATAACTAAACAATTTTTGTTTATTATTTTCTTTTACAATATTTGGATATCTTAAATATTTTACCATAGATTGCAATTGGCTGACGTGACTTGCTTATGATTGATTTTTTCTTACACTTTGCTCTGGATGTCATATTCAATATTACTACTGTGTACATGAATAGATATGAACTAACATGCATACATACGAATTTCTACTTTATCAGTCTATTGCACTTCACTCTTCTTTGTCAAGTTGATAAATGATTTTGAAAATTTAACAAACCAGTGCAATAGCGTCGTTCATGGCAATGAATTGATGGAGATTACTTATGTACATATATATAAGATACACACATAATTTTTAGATACTACTACGGGGGGATCAACAAAAGTTCGATAAGTTGATTAGAAAAAAACTCTTTTTGTATTTCTTCGTAATCTTTGTCCTTTTTATATCTTCTTTACATAATCACCATTGATTTTAATGCATTTCTTAAGCCTCTAGATCCACTTCTGAAAACAGTCATCCAAATCTTGCTTTTTAAGTGTATCAAGTTCAGCATGAACCGCGTTGATTATCTACTTGTTGCTATTAAAAACATTACCCTTTAAATATTTTTTTTTAATTTTTTGGGAATAACCAGAAATCACAAGGTGCCATATCCGGGGAATATGGTGCTGGACGTATTTCTTCGATCCTAGAGATCGCAATAAAATTACTCGTCATTTCAACAGTGTGGGTTGGCACGTTGTCATGATGGAAAAAGTAGCGCCGCAAATCTTCATTATTTCTGTTTCCCAACAAATTTTTGAAATCTTTTCGTAAGCACTCTTCGGTGTACTAATTTACAGTTACCGTCTGGCGCTTTTCCAGTGAAATAGCAGCTGCGATTTTATATCGCGTAAAGTAAACTGATATCATTTCTTTTGCTACTGATTTCTGTTGCATAGGTTTTAAGCATGGGTTCGCTCCTGTTGGTCTCCATACCATGGACTGCTGTTTGGTTTCTGGATCGTACTTATAGATGCAAGGATCGTCACCAGTAAGGACCTTACTAAAGTTGCTAGACTGACCATTTTCGAAATTGTTTGGGAAAAATTGCGCAAAACGCACTCGAGCCTCTTTTTGGACCTCATTTAAAACTCGTGGTGATTACTTAATGTTCGTGATAAAGCCAAGGCATTTAATCCCAATTTATTAACAATCATTTCTTATGTTAATCGTGGCTCTTCGTCAATTTTGAGCTTCGCCAGAGTTAGAGTGATGTCATCAATGGAAGATTTCGGTCGACCTTCTCGAGGCTCGTCCTCTAGGAAAAAGTATGTGGTCTGAAATCTTCGGAACCACTTGGAAATAGTCCTTAAAAACGGTGCAATCGCTCCTATGAATATTTGTACTGGCTGTAAATTACGCCGAAAACTGAAGAGAATCACATGGCGAATTTCTGTTTGCGTTGGTGGGGGAATTTCGTCTGACCTATCCTCAGCTGCCTTGCTTTTTGTAGTCTCCATTTAAGCCGATCGTTCTTAAATTTGAAAGGAAGTATAATAAAGTAATTGCAAAGGATTTGGTATTTTTAGATTTAACAAAAACAAATTGAAAGTTACCAACTGACCGATCTTTTGTTAATCTCCTCGTATATGCATAAACACATGCATATTTATGCGAATAAACCAATCATTTTAATCTAAATTTCCGCAAAAACTTTAGGTGAATATATCAAAATAGTATTAAATACATTATATGTTTATATCAAATTGATATTATTTTATATAAATATTAAAGAAAATATTTTTATAATTTTTCAAAAAAATTTAAGTACAAAGTGCGTCGACAGCTTTCTGTGATAAAGACAGAGATAACGTAAAATGCTTCGGCGAGCACTGATTTTTATTTTTTCTACTTTGCCGTTCGTTTCAAATCATATTCGCTAAACAACAAAGTTTGCAAGCAACAATCAGTCACACCCCCTTTTTGCACTTGATCGTAGCACTCGAATGCCACACACTTCCACTGTATATATGTATAATACAAACATACCTCCAACACACACATTTATACGCGAAAGTGGCGTGTGAGTGTACATGTGTATGTATTCATATTATATTTAAAAATATATAAATAACAAGCACTGGAGGTCAATGTACATCAGTCATCATCATATCGTTCCATCATTCCATCATTCCACCTTCGCAAATTCGCTTTTCAGTTAGTTCATCAGTTAAATAAATTTGTAAACAGTAATAAAAAAGTGAAAATTGTTTAGTAGTGATATTCTTTCCGTTTTGTATTGTAGCGCAATCTTTCTTTTCTACTGTTGTTAATAAATAAAATGTGCAAACGTATGTACATACTTACATACATATATCTAAAATAGTATTTGTACCTTTTTTCTTCTCTCTTTCTCTCTCTCTCTTCCCATGTTTCTTTTGTCTTTTTGTGCTCTCATGCTGCGATCCGAACTTCTTGATGTTTTTCAGTGAATTACGGCGGCGTTAGAAGGTTAGAACAGCGCGACAACTACGACAGCGAACCCAATGACAACCTTTAACCGTATGTTACGTATACGTCGTGTATGACACTTCACCGGCGTTCTCAACGCAACAGCTGACTGCGTAGAAAGTGAAACAACGTCTAAGTAAAAGGAGTAATCATTGTGTGCGTGAAATAAAAATTGAAAAATATTAAAATTAGTAAAACACGGGGAACAAAGAGTGAAAATAACTAGAATTAATGAAATTATAACATCTATACAAATATGAACCGAAATATGAAAAATAAATATTTATAAAAAAAAAAAAAAATTAAATAAAAAAAAAAATTGGAAAATAAATAATAAAATAAAAAAAATAAAAATAATAAATAAAATAAATTAATTAAAAAAATTAAATAAATAAAATCATAATAATAATAAATAATTAAAACAAAATTTTATAAAAAATTAATAAATGAAAAAAAAGGGAAGACTAATAAGAAGAAAAAATAAATTAAATAAAAAATAAAATAAAATAAATAAAAAATAATAATAATAACGAAATAAATAATGAAAAGAAATAAATATAAAGAATATTAATTAATTAAAAAATTCGTAATTATAAAATAAACTAACATAAAAGATAAAATGAAGCAACTCGAGAAATAAAATAATGTATCATAATAAAATAAAATAATGTATCATAATAAAATAAAATAATGTATCATAATAAAATAAAATAATGTATCATAGTAAAATAAAATAAAATAAAATAAAATAAAAAAATAAAAGAATAAAAGAAAATAAGTGATTAAAATAGAAAAAAATAAAATAAATTAAATTAAATTAAAAAGAAAGCAAATAAAATGAAGTATCATAAATTAAATTAAATAATATTAAGTAAATAAAATTAAAATAAATAAATAAATTAAAATAATTTAAATGAAATTAAATCTTATAAAATTAAATAAAAATAGGAAATTAATTGAATAAAAGCAAATAAAAATGTATAAATTTTCGGTAAAGATAAAAATAAGAATGAATGCATTTTCTTTTGCCTTTTATCAGACACTGAATTATGTTTACAATAAGAACAAAAAGAATCCGTACGTGCAATAACAAACAAGCAGTATAGATCAAAGTTCGATTGAAACGAACGTCCAACTGGTTATAATTTATTTTCTTAATTTTATTTCTTTAAAATTCGCTTGATTTCTTACTTATTATTTCTCATAATTATATTTATTGTATTTTTTTGCTAACAAATAAAAATCAAATGCAGCATTCTAGTAGCAGATAAGTGTGTCAAAAGTGCCGGATGTGTAGCGCGTTAGCAAACGTGTTAGCGACACGATCGCGGAGGCAGTAGTAGCAAGCAACAAGTTTAAGAACCAGTAAAAAATGTAATAAAAAATATAGAATATAAAAGCTGAAAAATTTAAACTAAATACGAAAAAGTGCAAAAATATATAAAAAAACTAAAAATTATAAAATAAAAATTTTACAAAAAAAATATCGTTAAAAATTTTATTTATTTTTTCAATAGTAACGTTATATAAAATACAGCATTGAAATAGTTGTAAAAAAGTTAAAATAAAAGCAACCAATTCGACATTCAAAAAAGAAAATAGCACCGAAAATATAAATCAAAAACAACTAAGACGGTTAAAAACTTTAAAATCGACACGCACCTCACGCTTTAACTCACTGTGTCAACCGTTTTCGGCCTTAAATGTTTATTAAAAACAATACACTTTTGAACAGCAGCAGCGGTGTTGGCGTTGGTAACGGCACTAGCAACGGCAGTGACAATCTCGGTATTGACAACATCGGCGGTGTAGGTCTCGGCAGTGGTGGTGGTGGAGGAGGTGGTGGTGGTGTTGTAGCCGGTGACGGTCTGGGCGCTAACAGCGCAGCAGGCAGTCTCAGTATCGCAAGCAGCAGCAGCGTCGGTGGTAGCAGCAACAGTATCGGCATCGGTGTCGGCGGAGGCGGCGGCGGCGGTGGTGGCAGCGCCGAATTGCTCTACCCAAGTAGCAGCAGCAGTAGCAGTTCAAGCGCCAGTGGCCAAGCGAGCAGCGCTTGCAGTCATAGCGGTAGTAGCAGCAGCGTCAGCGGAGGCAGTGCTGCACCATTGAATCCAACGCGGCGCTGCGGCACACAGACTGACAACAATAATATCGGTAGCGGTAGACGCGGCCTCAACTTGAGCTTATTACACAATCACAGCAATAGTTCGTCGTCGAGTAGTAGCAGCGGCAGCGGCAATAACAACCATAACAACAATAACAATAATAGCAACCACAATCACGGTAGCAACACCAACACGAGCACTAGCGGTGGCATTGGCTTGTTAGTTGGGCACAGTGTTGGGGGTATTGTCGGCAGCGGCCGGCGTTTAATTGGCGGTCTTGGTGGGAGCATTTGGCGCTCAGCCACATCCTCAACATCTTCAGCATCATCTTCGGCGTCGGCGTCGGCACCACCACCACCACCACAACCACAACCACACACCAGCAGCACTAACAACGCTTCTGCGTCGGTATCGTCAAACTCGACATCGGTCTCATCGCCGACCGCCTCATACGCCAATTCGACAGCTAGTGGCAGTGCTGTGGCATTGACCATCGTCGACGGTCAGAACAGCAGCACTGCTGCAAACATCAATACCAATACCAATTGTAGCGGCGGCAATAATTACTTTTTGGGCGGCAGTGCGCCGGCCGCAGTAGCAGCAGCCGCCACTGCTGCAGCTATTGTTTACAGCGCTGGTAATAGTCGAAGCGGCAGCGGTTCGAATAGCGGCGGTTTTCTGCGCGGTCATACAAAGACTTTCTTGTTTCAAACGGTCCACGCGAAAGCAGCAAAAACGGGTAGCGGCGTGAGTGCAGTTGCTGGCGAGAGTAGCGCCATCATCAAAATGGACGAGGAGGATTCCATGGATGAGGAAATGCCTGTAAATATGACTATTTTTGATACATACATATGTATATGATATCTTTTGTTTTGTTTTCGATAACATTGAAGCTTCACACGTACATACATGCATTTCACAGTAAAAGCAATAATTTAATATATTTTTGTGCTAAGACACACAACATTCGTCAAATCTGCACTGCTATACCTTTTACAGAGTCTCTAGTGTGAAGAACTTTGCTGGTCTTTTCGAAAATTGAAGTAGTTGTCCTGAGCGAAGTAACTACGCTTACTTTGTCTGCCGAATGCTGGATGCTTGCAAATGACGTTCTCCACTATCTCGACATATTCCTTACATTTCCTGCATTTGTTGTCTTGTCTGTTCTTTTACAGTTCTACCAGCAGCCTGGAATCCGGTCTTCCGCTTTACCCCTTAAAAGCCACCTTTGGGTCCTAGATGATATGCAATTGGTTTTAAAGTAAAAAAAAAATATTTCGAAGAGCTGAACTTTTTATTTCACTGAGTGCGGCTGAGTATAATGAAAACTTTAAACGTGTTTTTCTCAAAACCACATTTTTCAAACGGGGAGGACATTTAAAACTATGACCCTATTGCATCGATTTATCTGAAATTTTCATGGTAGCTTCACAAATACATTTTTTTCGTTAAAATGTAAATTTTTTTTTTTAATAATTTAGTGCGCATTTTTTAGCCAAAAATCAATATTTGAAATCACAAAAATTAGTTAAAAAAAATCCGTACGTACTTTCAAGGACCATAGTTTTTAGATCATAAAACTCTTTGCTTTTCTGTCTTAGGTCTCATATTTTAGAAGAAATAGATCCTCAAGAGGTCGTCTTTAAAAAAAAAAAAAAAAAAAAAAAAAAAAAACATTGACTAAAGAATGGACTTTATCATCGCCATTTAGTAACAAAATAATAATTAAAGAGTATTTTTTTATGCTTCAATATATGTTCAATAAAATGGTTAAAATATAAATTCTCTTCCTTTTCCCATATTCCGCCCATAAATTTTAGAAAAAGAGTAAATTTTTCAACCTCCACAACCTCTTAATAATAGTAAAAGCCTTGTAAGTTTAATGTCATACGTTTTGAATATAGTTTTCGTGAGTCTGCAGCCCTTTGCTCGCTTCTAGTGTCTATTAGCCTGACGAAGTAAGATTACTTCCTGCATTTCTTTCACTTCTCGAAATAAAATTGGAGGATTCCAAAAAGACACTGTCCTTAGCCAGTTCGACAGCTATCTCATTGCCTTCAGTGCCCGTAACCTGACACACAGTAAATATAAACTCTTCTTTTTTCAGACATTGTTTTATCGTACCTATACAATGTGCTACGTGAAATTAAGGCCCTTATGGCTGCTTGGCTATACTCACAAAAGTGTATTCTTTTCCTTTAAAAACCAACACTCTGCAGTGGTTCTGCCCCCACTTATATAGCAAATATTACAACTTGGAAGACACTGAAATTGTTTGTTAGCTTAAATGATTTTCGTTCATTTTAAAACCATGAGTAAAAACATGATGAGGTTTGTCTGCATATTTCAGACCTTTGCTCCAGGCATTCGTATCAATTGTAGTTAGCAGCAGCTTACAGAAGGTCAGACCAGAGTGGTCTCCTAGTTTACTCGTATACTTAGCTATAGCGCTATATTACTGTGCCCGTAAGTTTTGACTTTTAGCTGCCTAGAAGCAGCAGTTAGGAATGCTCTATTTTTACCCACTAGATTTGCAGGGAGAATGCTCAGAGTCGCGTGTAGCACTGCAGACGATTATGTTTCGAAAGCCTATATGATATAGATCATAAAAAGTCTGAAGACTCTTTCTAGCCTATGCAGATAAGTTATCTTATCCACAGACTTCCAACTTATTAAATCTCCATAGGATAGTACTGATTAAACAATGGCAATCCAGAGAAAGATATCGTCAGGGTGACCCCAACAACTTTTTACATGTCCGCTGATGCCTTTTTCACTGGCCCCTCTAAATTGAGTCTTCACGACAGCTTGCTGTCTATCACAACTCTTAGGTATTTAGTGCTGGATTTCAATTGTAAAGTGGTCCCTCTTAGCTTTGGTTTGATCTAAGCTGGAAGTTTGCATTTCCTTGTGTATATAACAGCATCTGTTTTATCTGTCGAAATAACCCAGGTGCAATTCATAAACCGCAAGGGTCCAGCGCAGAGGTGATAGCACATCTCCACATCGTCAAAATCTCTTTGCGCTTTAATATTCCTGCAACTTACTTATATTATATATAATTGGCGCTTGGTAACCGCTGAAGCGATTTTCGGCCGAGCTCCTCCTCCAATTTGTAGTTTTGAGTCTTGATGTGTTATGGAGGGCTTGCGATTCCCTGCCGAGAGGCGACGGCAATTAGAAAATTTAACTTAATTTTTTGTTTAAAATTAATTTTCTACAACTTTTATATGTTGGTCTTACGATTTGATCCAAACCCTTTCGAATTGCAGTACCTAAATTTTATGAAATAAATAGATTCCAGATACTAAATTTCAAGTAAATCGAACAATAAATAATAAGTATCTGTAATAGATCGGTTCCAGGGTGACATTTCGGCAGAAAAGGTAATCCTAAACTTAATTAAGCAAACATACGAGTTCCTTTTAATGGAGTTCCTGTCGATTCTTGGTCAGCTTCCCAGTTATGTTCGTGATAATCGAAGTAAAAACCCACAATGGACTCTATTTTAAGAAATTCGGGTCGTCAAGATAACTCGGTCATAGGTCAACTTCCCGGAGGGAAAGATGAATCTTAATTTGGCCAACGGTTCAAGGGTTTCCCGGAAACAGCTGAAAATCTGAATTTTCTGGCTGGAATGAAGCTTTTCTAAAAATTTATACAAAATCGGCTCAGTAGTTTCAGAATCTATAGATACATACATAATGACGTTTTTATAGTCACCTGGTTTTCAAGAAGAAATGATACTCATTTAATTTAATGTCGACTTTATTATTTGTCGATCTGGTTTAAAAATGATTCAAGACGTCAATCGTCTAGGGCTAGTCTTCGTGCCAAGCGCTCATAGATTATTTCTGACATGATTTAAAAGTTTCTCATAAATATCCATTGGGCGTCCGGAGTCGGCCTAGAACAAACTGTAATGCAATTATGCCTCTCCTATAGAAACCCTTACCCTATTGGCAAAAAATTGGGCAATAATTTTTTTCAGACTCATTTTGAGGCCAATTCTTAACCAACCAGATCATTCGCCAGAGGCAGGAAATTATGGTAATCACTTAGTGCAAGGTTTGGACTACTAGATGAATGCATAAGAACTTCCCCAGCAAGCTCTCGGAGCTTCTGGCGAGTCACCATCGATGTGTGTATGGTCTGGCGTTGCCCTTCTGGGTGGCTTCTTCCTTTAAACGGTCCTATTGCTTACAGTGCAGACACGAATTAAAACTTGGGACGTAGAGAGCAGCACACAATGGATGACTCCCTGCCAATTTCGCAAAACACACAACAAAGCCATCCTGGTTGACAATCTTGGCTTTGATATCGTTTCAATAATGGGTCGATTTTTTTACGATTCAGCGGCGATTCGCCGGTTCATCTCATCAAGTCATGTGGCTTCCATATTCCGAGCTGTTTATTGTGAAATCTGAAATGTGCAGCTCCTGGATCATCGAAACAGTGCTCACAAGATGGTCAGGCTGGATTTCAGAGTCCCATTATTTCATCGACATTTTTGAAAATTCTATTTCCACACTGTAGAGCATCTTTTGTGGTTGTAGAATATCGCGTGTTTGCTTTTTGCTGTTGCCCATCTTTGACAGGCGCTCAAACACTACCGAGTTAAGTGATCAACATTTCTGTTCTTCTTCTTTTTTTTGTATAAAATATCGTTTCTTTTTTAACGCCATCTAGCGTAATCCAATCGCACTTAGAGAAAGCGGGAAATGGAGGACTTCTTAGTTGACCTATCATTTAAATTTAACGGTGATTCATTTATTATTATTTTCTTTCAATTAAATCAAATTATATGAAATGTTCTTATTAAACAAAGAGAATTAAGACTGGTGGAATTATTTTCGGTACAAATTGTAAGAAAGGTTACTTCATTCACCTGCCATACAAACGATTGCTTGGATATGAACTTATGCGTTATTACTCGATTTTTCGTAAGATTAATTGTCTATTAATCAAAAGTCATCATTAGCTTAAGATTATCTGTTGTTTGTTTAACAATAAATTATATTATGCGACAGTTATTTAGTGGTAATAATTCAAACAATGAATCAACAGTTGCAACAATTCCTTACAAACTCCGCGTTAGACGCCTTAAATTGCCATCCCAAAGAGGTAATAATAACCGGATTGTGTGGACAATTGTGATGAAACAACGCACGTACCTGATTAAGTATGAGTAAATCAATAGCGGTACTTATGTGCATATGTATGATAGCAAACAACAGCTATGATGACCCGCCACTTGCCTTTTCACAGTAGACATATGTCGACAAACATACATACATATGTTTTTATAGAATGCGAGCGACGAAAATGGGAAAACCTGTTGTGTGCTGCCGCCTTCCTTTGAAATGTTGCCGGCGTCGAAATCGACATATCCGCCATCGCCGATAATGGTGAATGTGCTATAAATCAATATGAGCTCGTAAAAATGTATAATAAGTGCGGTTACTTTGCATAAATACTCGTTTATATAAACATTCATATGTATGTAGGTATGTAGGTATGCAGGTGCATGTCACAAGTGTGCAGCTGAAATACCAATAACAACAGAACACAAATTAAGCATAAAAAAATATAAAAAAAAAAAAATAAATAAAACAAGTTATATGATAAACAAAACACAAAGCACGCGACAACAAAAAGTTAATGACTTTAATTGTAAATCAATATGTGGGTGAACAAATAGAGGAACAGGCGAAACAGTCGCTCACAAAATATACATATTTACATACTCTACGTATGAAAGGGAAATTCATACATACATACATATGTACATACATTTGCACATACATATTTATATTGTTAGA